TATGGACTTAGACACCTTATCCAACATCTTATCCCATGAGTTCGATCTTAAAGCTAAGTAAACTCAAAATCATAGCACTTGTGGTTCCACTCGTTTGTAGACTTGTCTAGAATCCATGATACGATAAATCATTTGATTGAAAATGTAAATGTAGTCATGAAATGCGCCTGCTTAGTCAAGATTCCCCTAATAAATATTCAAGTGCATTACAAAGTTGTACATGTATGAATAATGTCCTTTCGTAGGTTATGTTTTGAAGAGAAGCAAGAATGAATCTCATAAAGTCATTAATATCAGTAGGAGATGATGTGAGATTTGTTGTAAATGAGTAAAGGGAAAATGAATCAGGAGGGTAACCAACTCTTGCGTTTGTTCTCATTTGGTCCTTTTCCTTTTTTTTTTGTACTCAATATACCATCGAACTTGTTGTTTGTGTTCACCATAACCCTTTGACCGGCTATCACAGGTCAAAAGCCGGTCAAAAGGGCTATGGTAAACACCAACAACAAGTTCAATGGTATATTGAATACAAAAAAAAGAAAAGGGACCAAATGAGTACAAACGCAAAAGTTAATTACCCTCAAGAGTCATTTTCCCATCAAACTTCTATTAAACAGTAGTCAACTTACCAAAAAAAATTAAAAATGAAAAATAAAAAAAATTTAAAACCATTGTTTATTTAGAGGAAACAACAAGTTTTGGAAAACCTACTCTTTCATAATGAATTTTGAAAAAAAAAAATACTGAAATATACAAGCTCCAAATTATAGATTTCCGGTGAAAGAGTAGGCTATTTTTAAAACCTAGGCTTTCTATGGTTATTGTAGGATATTTCTTAATTTTTTAAATAAATGAGAAGTCATTAAAAAAAAATTGGCTAGATTAGCATTTTCTCAAATAAAAATCAATAAGCTAAAATAATCACTTCTAAATAATTAACACGTATCAACATATTCACAAAAATACCATTAGAAATAAAAAAAAATAGTATGAAATCCCAATTGTTTTTGATTTTATAAAAATGATCATTATGTCTAAAAACGGAGGGTATGTCACTCTAACTTTGTGTCGCACTTAAAATATTATTTTAAAACAAAAAAAAAATTTCGGATTTTGAACATGAAAAAAACTATAACGAAATGTTATTCGAAATCAATGTTTTAAAAATCAGTTCAAATAGATCGATCGAACTGGGAACTAGAGATGAGAGCAGTTCAATAAAGACCAATTTTATGTCATTTTTTAGACCGGATCAAACTAGACGGTTTTTCAAAAATTGGATGAATCGGTGTGTTAGAATTAGTAAAAATTGTTTTAACCGGTTTTTTAGACTTTAATAATTAGATTTTACTTAGCCCTTTAATGAGTAAATTACACGAATGGTCCCTATGGTTTGGGGTAATTTGCGTGTTTGGTCCCTAACTTATTTTTTTAACTCGGAAGGTCCCTATGGTTTGTTTTTGTTACGCGTTTGGTTCCTACTGTTTATTTTTGTTACACGTTTGGTCCCTGTCTTATCTAAAAAAGACTATTATTTAAAAGGGAAAAAATGATGGGGTAGGTGAGGTAAGGTGAGTGGTGGGATTAGGGTGTGTTTATTTAAATAAATTAAAAAAATCAAGGGCATAATAGTCTTTTTAGGTAAGATAGGGACCAAGCGCGTAACAAAAACAAACAGTAAGGACCTTCCGAGTTAAAAAAATAAGTTAGGGATCAAACACGCAAATTACCCTAAACCATAGGGACCATTCGTGTAATTTACTCTTAAAACAACTCATTTTCAAAACAAATTAAACAGCTCGATCAACCAAGTTATCCGTAGTGTACATAGCTCGAAGGCAATTGGCAAATGACACACGAACATTACTAGCGCTCGAACCGGTTGAAACGACAACCGACCACTAGATCGGTTCAATTAAAAAACCGTTTTGAAATCCGATTAACAAATCCAAATTTCTAAACATTGCTTTGCTTTTTCTTAAATTTAACCAAAAAAAAACATACAAAAATATGATTACACAATGACATTAAATGTGACAATTTTATGAAAATTTATTAAAAAAAATGATACAGACAGTTTAACAAAATATGTTTTTGGAAATAAGAAAAATAATACATATTATTTGTTTATTGGATTTCGAAATAATCATTTCGAAAATTTATGGGTTTTTTTTTTTTTTTTTTTTTTGTAAATACCCAAACTTTTTTTTCCTTATATTTTTAAAGATCATATGGTCATTTTATAAATGTTTCGTTTAAAATGCGGTTAAAACAAAAAGGCATAAACACCTTTAAGTTTAAAACCTTTTACCGTTTTTACTTTATTTTATTTTATTTACATCCATTAATGTTTGCCTAGTATTTGAACATTTTTGTTTATATTTGTCATTTACCAGGTTTCCATGTATACTTCATGTTTAGGTATCGATGACAAAATCTATCTAAAAACATTTTTAAGGGTTTGGGGAAGGTCATGTGTTCATGTTTAGGTATATTTCATGGAAATTTTTTTTTTATGTATAATAATACATATTTTAGTTGCCTTATTAAATTATATATTAATTGCAAAGGTCTCATAACCAAAGATTGGTTGTAGCTCAATGGAAGAGGTGTTGGTTGGGTTCGGGGAAGGTCACGTGTTCAATGCCTACATGGCGCCAAGTAAACTAGCGAGATGGGTTGATGATAGGAAAACCTGATAAAAGTCAAAAAAAATGACAAAATCTATCTAAATTTAGGTATTAATGGAATTAAAATCCAACTCTCAACACAACCGACAAAAACTTATGAATTTAAGGGTTTTTATGGCTTTTGCCCAAACAAAAACTCATAAAATGCATTGATCTAATTAGTATGTGGCAAAAATAAAAAGTCATAACTAGCAAGGACTAGTTAGTATTTTTCATATTAATGTCGAGTCTAGTAATCTAGTAACATTTTATATATTCGTTGGAAAGTGGAAACTTATATAACTAACATGGGCCAATAACTCTATAAGCCGCATACAGTTTTTTGTAAATTCTAGAAAGTCCAAATTTTAACTTGTGGCATGAACAAGATCTCGAAACTCTTGAAACTGATTTTGTGGAGCCATAGCCCATACAAATACAAGACAGTGAGATATAATATCATTGTTATATATTCATCATTTTGTGGAGCCATAGCCCATACAAGACACTAAGAATATAATATCATCGTTATATCATTCACATTTAAGATTTAAGAGATGATTGTGCTAAAAAGAAAGTAATTTTTATATTGAAAGACAAACAAACATTAAGTTGCACTTTTATTTTCTTTTTCTAGATAAAAAAAACTAATCTTTTATAAACTACATCTAGGGATCTTGTACTCATTAGCATTAATATATATGAATCATTGGATTCTATTTGAGAGATCCACAACATCTTGTGCAAAAAACCAAATGCATCAAATGTGTATAGTATAATCATGTATTGATTTTCCATGCATGTTTTGTGAGAGAGAAAATCTTGCTAGATCCGCACATGCTTATTTCCTCACTAGTTACTTAAGTCAGTCAAGAAGTTCGCAAATGTCTTTTACTTGGCTGAAACATCGAAGCATCGAAATATATTAAAGAAACATCTCTAACAATATCGGTGTCATTAATTGAATCTTAAAAGCTCTCTACAATGTTTTACATATTTCCTTAAAAGAGTTCATGTATGTCTTCCGATAAACTAAACATATATCATCAGAAATAACAGTTTCATAATGTGAATTTAGAGTATACGGTATGGGCAACGAGAAGTGCTATTTTTGCTGATGTGAAACCTCATAACCTAGTCATAACAAGATGAACACCACCCCTCCTTCTTGTTAAGAGGATGATATGACATATCTTGTTGTAACGAGCACAAGAAGCAACAGGAAGTTTAATTGGTTGTTGCCCTTTATCAACCAATCAAATCATTTTCTTTTTTTCTCTCTACTTCTTAACATGTTATAACATAGGAAACACAATTTCCCTCTTTATGTGATGAATGAGGTGGCATATATACTTGATGTTATAAATGTCCCGTACCTAATCCTCTTAAAAGATAATACACTCATAAGATACACAAATATTATGGTAAGAAATGTCCACCACTGCTACTATTCAAGGGTGACATGATGGTTTAACTATTTTATTTCACTTTTTTTTTACTAAAAAGTTTAATATATATATATATATATATATATATATATATATATATATATATATATATATATATATATATATTTTTCTGTATTACTATTTTGACCTGCTATGCAAAGTTTAGTTTCATAAGTTTAATTTTAACCATTAAATTTTAACAAAAAAGAAATATTATAACCACTTTCATCACGAAAGTTAAAGCACAAAAAACTCAAAATATACGTTTAAATGCTGCAATCTATAGTCGTTTTCTGTACGAATAAAATCATTTTCAAAACAACCACTGTCGTATATCTTGAGCCCATACCACAAGTCACTAAGTCATTATGGAAAAATGGGACTTGTCATCTAACCCCTTCATATTTTAAAATTCTATAAATACAAAACAAATCACATTTTACCCCAAAATTAACATTTTTCTTCCATTTTACTCAACACATAATGTTTTTTTTTTTTTCATCCCTTTTGCACTGCTCTACATATTTTTTTTACTTGATTGTTTGTTAATTAATATTCTGAATTTTACATTTTAAATAAAAATAAAAATAAAAAATACATTAGAGAAGGGCCCAACTTTCTATATATTCCCGTTGTAATTTGCTTTTAAAGTGGGGCCAAAATCCTGATGCTAAACTTTATCTTTTATTTTTATATTTATATTTTATATTTTATTTTACGACGAACTACGTCTAATAAATAAAAGAAAATAATAAACCCTATATAATTTCTTTTCGTAGAAAAGTAAATATAATAAAATAACAAAAAGTCACCTAATCCTAGATATAAAGTCGCCATAAACCTCCATTTTAATGCTACACGACACTCTGAAAAATTCTTACTCATGGAAGAATCTGTCAATTTCGTCAAAGGATACGGCAAAGTTAACCCCTCCGACGACGAAACAACTGCCGTTCCATGCCAATCTCCGTCACCGAAACGCCGTAAAACCGTCGCTGCCGTCATTACTCTAGGCCTCTTCGCAATCATTGTCGGATCAATAGTTGGAGCTGCGGAGGTTCATCATCGGCGCACCAAATCACCGGAGCCCCAATCTTCTTCAGTCAAGGCGGTAGCTTCCATCAAAGCCGTGTGCGCGGTAACGCAACATCCGGAGTCATGTTTCACCGACGTTTCCACCATCGATTCCGGTAACTTTTTCGATCCGGAGGTGATTTTCAACCTCACGCTCCGGCTCGCGATCAACGAGCTCACGAACATCTCGTCGTTGCCTAAAACCCTAATTTCGAAGTCGCACGATCTACGAACCGGTTCTGCGTTGCGAGACTGTGCGACTCTGTTCGATGACGCGTTGAGTCAACTCAGTCGGTCGGTGGAGGCTATGCGTGTGGGGCCTGTCGGCGGGGAGAAGTTGTTGACGGAGGAGAAAGTGGCGGATATGAAGACGTGGATTAGCGCTGCGATGACGGATCAGGAGACGTGTGTGGATGGATTGGAGGAGATGGGATCGACGGCGGTGGATGAAGTGAAGTCGAGGATGCAGAGATCGAACGAGTACATGAGTAACAGCTTAGCAATACTCGCTAATATTGAAACCATACTTGACCAATTTGGGCTTCGTCTGCATTGATATTCACGATATTGCCATTGAATGTAATTTTGTGTTTGTAATTATTTTTTTTAATACTATTTTGATTTTTGAGTAACGTTGTTGTAAAACAAAAGTAAAATATACAAAAAAAAAGTAAGTGTTCTGAAGTTTCTTTTATATTAGTTTTTTCCGTTTCTTTTCACCAAAAACCGTAAAAACTTTACCTCGGTTAAAAATATTAAATATGCACACCAATTGAATTTTTTTTTGGAAACGGCCGAGATAATTTTATTAATAGACCCCGCTAGCAAGAAACTAAACCGGGGACGAGAATTTATAATCAGTACAAACAGGAAACATAAAAGGGGAGATTTTCCAACTCTCCCAGCTACAAATACCATTCTTACCGCTACATTTGATCCATAAATAAACAAGTGATTTAATTTCCTCGACCGCTTGCATAGAATTACTAACAAACCTTTGAAATAGCCTGTTGTTTCTCGACTTCCACAACACCCATAACGTGCCATAACAGATAGCAATGAACCTTTTCCTCTGTTTGACACAAGTACTCCAGTTGGAAGTGAGATCGATGAACTCACTTACAGTTTGGACTGTCATATCATCAACCCCGCACCATCTTAGAATTTCACTCCGGACCATACTCGCATAGGGACAGGAGATAAGAATATGGCCTGCATCTTCCTGCTGGTTAATGCATAAGCCACAAAATACATAATCAATGGGGATATTCCTGCTAATTAGTGTTGCAGCACAGGGTATTCGACCTTGAACTGCCCTCCAAACAAAGCACATCACCTTTATGGGAATTAGTTTACACCAGCTAATTAAGAAAGGGGGGGTGAATGCAGACATGTTTGTGGTCTATCAACTGCTTAATAGCCGAAACTCTATAGATACCATTAGGGGCAATAGAGCAATACACCTGATCCGAGCCAGGAGTGAGCTGAATTGAGCAAACATCCTGGACAAGGCTCGATAAATAGTTGTTTAACCCACAACTTTCCGGGTTAGTCTTCCAGTACCAAGTTGTATCACCACGTTCATTGATTCTGTCGTTCACTACACACCTCTTTCGAGATTCTAGATCATAAAGGGCAGGATATACCCTTTTTAATGTTGAAGTACCAATCCAGATGTCATTCCAAAATTGAGTGTTGTCCCCCGATTTGACACATTGTTTAAATATATCGTTGAAATTTAAACCCAAAGATTCAAGATCCTTTTTTACTCCTGCAATGTTGTTCCAGATACCTCTAAGAGATTTCTTGCAGATATATTCTTTCGGTTTGTTTGACAGGTTATGGACCCCATATATAATTCTACTCGAAAGAGCTGAATTTTCATTCCTGAGTCTCCACCACCATTTTACCAGTAGAGCAATGTTCGTAGCCCTAATGGATCCAACACCTAGACCACCCAGTTTTTTGGGACTGATGACTTTGTTCCACGAGACCCAATGAATCTTATTTTTCTCTTCACTTCCCCCCATAAGAATGATCTTCTTATCCTTTCCAGCCTCTCAACTACACCTGCAGGAGCTCTGAACAACAAGAGATAGTATGTTGGAAGGTTCCCCAGTACAGAAGTAATGAGAGTTAGTCTTCCACCGAAGGAAAGAGTTTTTGCCTTCCAGCTACTAAGTTTGGATTGGAACTTGTTTATAATTGGCTGCCAGTTCTTTACCAAGTTCATATTTGCCCCCACTGGTACTCCAAGATAGTTAAATGGTAGACAGCTAGCCTCACATCCAAGTGTCCTAGCAGCGTATTTAGTTTCACGTCTCGAAGCTCCAACACCGAAAACCTTGGATTTTCCAAAGTTAACTTCGAGACCAGAGGCCATATGGAAGCAGTGTAAGATGCGTGCTAGGTTTTTCATATTCGAACGGCTCCAATCTCCCACAAATAACGCATCGTCTGCATAGAACAGATGCGAAATTCTTTCCCCGGTTCCAGGGATTTTTACCCCATTGAATAATCTTTTATCGCTGGCAGTCTTCATAGTTATGTTGAGTCCCTCCATAGAAATTATGAACAGAAACGGGGAGAGAGGGTCTCCTTGTCTTACCCCTTTTGAGAACTTGAATTCTCTAGTGGGACTACCATTTATAATAACCGAGGCACGGGCCGATGATAAATAGCCGTGGATCCATTTTCTCCACTTGTTCCCAAACCCCATTTGGCCAAGAACGGAGTCGAGGTATTCCCAGTTGACTAAGTCGAACGCTTTGTCGAAATCCACTTTAAAGAGTAGCATTTTCTTTTTTGTTTTTTTAGCCCAAGAACACAGTTCATTGACGACCAAAGGTCCGTCTAGTATGCTTCTGCTCTCCACATTAGCTGATTGAGCTTCGCCTATTACATTGCTGATAACAGTTTTCATCCTAGTTGCCAGCACTTTGGAGATTATCTTGTATATGCAGCCGATCAAGCTGATAGGCCTGAAGTCCAACAGGGTGGTCGGATCCTTAACTTTGGGGGCCAACGAAATGAATGAGGAGTTACATCCTTTGGAAAGAGTTCCAGTATCTTCGAATTTCCGAATGGCACACATCAAGTCATCTTTTATCATATCCCAGTACCTCTTGATAAACTTAAACGTTAACCCATCAGGGCCAGGAGCCTTGCTACTACCACAAGCCCAAGTGGCCTTCTTGACTTCATCGGTCGTAAATGGGGCCTCAATACGAATAGCATCCATCATAGTAATGGATTTAAATCGAGAATTCACCAGTTTTGGTCTAGAAGCCCATCTTTCAGTAAACTTGTTTTGATAGAAAGTGAACACCTCTTTCTTTATCTCCTCAACTTCATTGCTCCATTTACCATTTATCATCAACCCCTCAATATGGTTCTTCCTGTTTTGATTGTTCACAACTCCATGAAAGAATGTTGAGTTTTCGTCCCCATCCTTGGTCCACTTAATCCTCGCCTTCTGTTTAAGATCCTCAACAACAAGTCTTTCCAGTTCGTATATTCTCTTCATACAATTACTCTTGTACTGTAGCTCCTCCTCCAATAACATTCTGTTTTCTGCCTCTTTCTCAAGTTTCCTCACTGAATCTTTTAGTGATTCCTTTTCCATTACTTCCTTGGAGTGTTCTAATTTACGCCATTGACGAATAGCTTCCTTTACATGTTTGAGTTTTGCAGCCAAAAACGAGCCAGCCGGCCCATAACCTCTGAATTCAGACCATGCGTTCACAACCACTCGATCAATGCCATCAACGAGTAACCAGGAATTAAAGAATCTAAATGGTTTAGGACCAAAGTCCATTCTTCCAACAGTGAATGTAATAGGGTTGTGGTCCGATAGATGCCTGGGGAGAGCGGTAGCTTTGAGATTAGGGCAGGAAGACAGAAAATTAGGACATGCAAGAAACCTGTCAATTTTGCTTAATTTCGCATCCGCACGACTCATATACGTGAATCGTTCTCCACCCATGTTAAAGTCTTGCACCCCTGCCTCATGGATGAACCTGTTAAAATCTCGTGCACTAACCTCACAAAATTGGGAATTCAATCTTTCCTCTTTACGTCTCACAAGGTTAAAATCTCCAAATAGGAGCCAGTTCCCGGGCCAGCTCTGCATGATTTGTAACAGTTCCGACCATAGTATCTTCTTCTCCTGTGGTGATTGAGGACCATAAATGTTTGCTATAATCGTATTCCCCGCAATGCCATTCCATGAACCGATGACTATTAAAAAGTGCCGACTCTTGATTGCGTTAGATTTTCTAAATAGCCTTGAGTTCCAGATAGAGACTAAACCGCCGGAACGTCCGTTAGATTCCACCCCCTCGAAGTCCATCCCAGAACCGTCCCAACATCCTTTGACGTCAATGTTGGTGTGGTTGGAGATTTGCGTCTCCTATAATCCCATAAAGTTAATGTCATGTTGTGTCTTTAATTTCCTCACCCATTTCACCTTGGCATCGGTACCAATGCCACGAACGTTGAGTGATATAAAATTCATTGATCTTTTTTGTTGACACCCGCTTCGCCAATGACCGCATTGAGGATGCTACATTCGCCATCGAGTTGGTACCCTAGCTCTTCCCCAATTTTTGCAGTTTTAGTTACTTCATCTCCATACGAGCTCTCTGTGCCCTCGACACCAGATGATTGTTTCGAGTTAGGGCTCTGATTAAGGTTTATAGTAGGCGCGTGCGTATCTTGTGGAGGATTGGCATTCAAAGTACAGCTCTGAGGAGTTTGTGACGTGAAGTGAATCGAGAAAGGTTCCCCAATTGCATCGTGATGTCTTTTCCTCTTTTTTACTAATTTGTCTAATTGAGGCTCCAATGAACAATCAACGTAAGGCGAGATATTGGGCTGAAAGTTTGGGAAAGGCCCAAAGCAACCTAATGACACCAGCTTATTAATTGGGCCAGGCTCACTAGGCTCCGATACTTGCACATTGTTCTTTTTGGCATCGAATTTGAAAATTAGGGGGGGGGGGGAGAGGGGAGGGGGGGCCTGACCTTTCATTTTCCACCGGGTCCATAGGGTTGTTATCTGGAATATCAACCGTCTTTGGGGAGTCTTCCACAATAATTTCGTCCTCGAATTTCGCGAACTTTGATGGCGACTTTTCATTCTCTCCCTCCTTCGAGTTGCCAACCGGTGGGATTTTCCGACCAGTGTTGTTACCACAGGTATCCGGTTCCGGCAATATCTCCCCTTCTTCCATGTCTTCAGTTTGATTCTGACCTCCTATCCATGTATCAGAGATTCCATCTTCTTCATCGTCTACCTCGTCATCATCCTCAACCACTGTTTGTCCCTCCTTATCTTCATCATTATTTGAATCATCATCAACTCTGTCATAGGGGACAGGATAAAACGGGGACCAGTCGTCGGTATACTCCACAACTCCGATACTGAATACTTCGCCATTTACATATACAGTAGTCTGATCATTGATCCATCTCCTTTTAGAAGTTAACACACCAACCTTACCCATGGAGCAGTCTCTTATATTTCTAATCTCACTAAAGGGGGAAATTACTCTTCCATAATTGCAAGCAATCTTTGAAAAGTTAGCTTCCCCCCATAGCTTATGCGGGAGACCAATAATCTTTAACCAAGCTACTCTTTCATACTGAAATTTGTATTTATCTGCCACAGTTAGCCATTTGAACCAGTCACTCCATCTTGTTTGATCTTCAAGAAACTCTTTCGCCAACGATGAACTGTCAAACTCCAAGGCTAATCTTAACCCACCGAGATACTTAGTTTTTTCATATAGCATCACTGCGGATGGCAAGTTTGCCATGTGGTTAATACTGTGAGCGTCACCAATTAAGAATCTATTATTTAACCAGTTCCATAGTTCAGTCTGAGAATCTAGCTTGATCATCGGAGATGAAGACGGGGGAGGAGGAGGTGGTGCCTGCACATTGGTAGCGTACTTCCCTTGTTTCCCTGAGATTACTTGTGCGAATGATCTTCCATCCCTGAATCCGCATTGTTTTTTGGGGACGTGACACTGTGTTGCATTTCTCATGAGTCTGTTTCTATCTTGCGTTCTCTGGGTTTTCCTTGGATGTTTCGAAATGTTAACCTTTAGAATCTTCCCATGACATTGCATCCCTTGTAATCTCCTTTCCAGATCCTGTTTGTCTTCCACGACTTTATATCTGACAAAGGCAAAGTTCATCCTTCGTGCATCTTTCTTACTCCCCATGTACACATCCATCACAGTTCCATATCTACCGAATAGTTTCCACAGTTCCGATTTCGTAGTCTCTTCTTGAAATCCCGCCACGAAGAACGTAATCGTGCAGTTTACGTCGTTGTGGATGAATCTTGATTGACGCCTCCTACGTACTTCAGTCCAATCGCCTCCCTATTAATGTTACATAAATTATACATATCAAAGTGGTTGTGTTTAAATGCAAAAGAACTTATATTAAATTATCAATAATAAATGATAAATTTCAATTAAATGCAAAAGAACTTATATTAAATTATCAATAATAAATGATAAATTTCAAAATATATTTAGTGTTATACTATTTACCAATATTATATATAGTATTAGTTTAGTGTGGGTTAGAGCATTTGAGTGTAGATTTTAGTATAAAATGAATATAATATGGGGTTGGAGATGTTTATAGGCTCATGACTTTTTATCGTACAATTCATTTTTTGTCGATATGTTTTTTTTTCTTTGTAAAAAAATATCTCTCTTTTTTTTTTTTTTTTTTTTTTAATTTGATTCTCTAAAAAATAAACATAGTAACAAAAATTTGATTTTTTTTTCTCTAAGTCTCCAAAACGATTCGCCATTCATTCTATGAACTAATTATCTGTGAACTAGTTAGTTCTACGGACTCCTTAAAAGTAACCACCAACTCTTTGTTCATCATAATTTTTCTTTGTAAAATTGATTTTAAAAAACTATAGTTCTTAAAATTTAATTCTATATAAAATAAATAATTTTATAAAATCACAAGTGTGTGTGTATATATATATATATATATATATATATATATATATATATATATATATATATATATATATATATATATATATATATAATGTTATTTGGAAAACAAAAAAACCCTAAAAATCATAAAATTGCATAAAAAAAATACTAAGAGATTAAAAAGCTTTTTTTTTTTAAAAAAAATTTATTAAAAAATCACAGGTTTTTTAATAAATTCTCTGAAAAAAATAAAAAATCATTTAAAAAAAAAATCAGCGAATTTATTTAAAAACCTGCGATTTTTTTATAATTTTTTTTTGTGATCTTTAACTATTATTTTTATGATTTTTAAGGGTTTTTTTGTTTTCTATAAAACCTAAACTTTTATATATATATATATATATATATATATATATATATATATATATATATATATATATATATATATAATATATATATATATATATATATATATATATATATATAAAAACCAGAAAATTTCATTATCAAGATTTAAATCATAAGTTCATAACAAATTAAATATTATGAATATATTAAATCATAACATTTTGTCTTTACATAACTTATGAGTATAGTGCATAGTGTCGATATATTCTCATAATGTTTACCTAATAGAGTAATAGTATTGAGGTGGAGATATCCTTCACAATTTACTGAAAAAATACTTTTAAAAAAAGAGTCAATGATATTCCAACAAAAACCAGGAAATGAAATAGAAAGGAGGTGGATGTCACGTCTTTTAAGATCGTGGAAGATTTTTCATTTTTTGATAAAAGTTATTTAAAGTGTCATGAAAATGGACTTTATATTAAATAACAATTTCCTCACGCATGCCCAATTATTTAATGAGAAATTGTCTAAGATATTACTTTTTCATTATGTTTACTTTGGATAACTTTGTTTGTTTTTCCGTATATTTATATATTTATGTAATAAATTTTTTGGAAGTGTTTATATATGACCATTATTACCGATATGTAACAAGTTACAATCGTTCATAAAGATTATATGTGAACACTTCCAACAAATTCGTTACCTAAACGTGTAAAAAAAACGAAGTTACCAAGATGCGAATAAAACAAAATGATAATTATCTTGATAAATCAATTTCCGTTTTTATTAAATTCATCGATCATAATGTTTGTAATATTAATATATTCAATTAAATTTCCTTAAAACACTATTTATGACAATTTAATGACAATTTAAATTGACCACAACATGTTGGGAGTGGTTTTTGGTAGCATTACTCAAATAAATGAAAATCATTTTGTTTTTTATTACTCTCTCATTTATTATATAACATGTCATTTTGTGATAAATTTGGATTAAATTATATCTATATGTCAATTTGAGGTTTTTTTTTTTATTTTTAATTTTATTAAATTTCATATAATATTTAAATGTAATAATAAATGCATTTCAAATTTATTAATATAAATTTTCTTATAATTTCTAAATTTATAAAGTGAATCAAATTATTTTTATTGTTTATTTATTTAAATTTAAAAGGAAAATGAGCACTTCAATTTTAACAGTTAAATATTTTTCTTTATTTCCTTTTAAATTCAAATTTTTATTTTTAGATCTATATATATATATATATATATATATATATATATATATATATATATATATATATATAAACCTATGTAGTACATAGGTTCTCATGTTTATTTATTTTTATTAAATAACTATGTATATATAAGACATGAGCAATGTTATTGATGTAGATAAAAACTACTTCTATTTTTTGTATTTTAATTCATATAATACATAGAGCAAACTTCAATGAAGATGATGTTCTATTTCACGTCATGTTTATTTATTTTTATCAAATAACTATGTATATATAAGACATGAGCAAACTTCAATGAAGATGATGTTCTATTTCACGTTATTGGTCACTCTCTCTGGTATTTTTAATCTCTAGTAAGTTTTAAATTCTATATTTAATATCTTAAACAATAAAATTTTATAAAGTGACGATGTTTTTTTTGTAACATCCATAAATTTCTTAAAAATTTTAAACTTTTTCAAACATCCAAAAATCATTATTTATTGCAAAATGTTTCAAAAATAGTTTCATATCAGAGTATCCCAGAAATCAAAATCATAAATTGTGAGGAGGTGCACGATCATGTTCTCGCCTTCCCGCGATCATCCAAAGTTGTAAGCTGATGTATGTAAAACGAACTAGTTTATTCCTACTTTTTAAATATAAATTAGACACACAAAAGGCAGTGATGTAGTTTAAGAAAGCAGGGTATCGAACACAGGGAACGAAAAATATAAAACTAACTACTAGGATTATCTAAATAAAAACAAGTAATAAAAGAAGGGTTTTCTCTAGTTTTGCAAGACTAGAAACTTAAATACTCAACTAACACTTAAACAAAACGGTTAAGAGCTAAGCAAATAAAATTCAACTAAATTCATTAATAAATGAGACTTCTGTTCAGGTTCAACTAACTTATTCCTATAGTTGATTTTATGGCTAATGTAATGGATTAATTTATCATTGGCTACCGATTAATGTGATTAGGTTCACGTTCGCTACTACTAATATTTAAAAAACAGATCAATTCAAACAGTTGCCAGTTGTCTAAACTAATGAGTTTCCTAGTTTATTGATTCGGGTTAAGTAAGACTTGTAGTTGGCTAATTAAATTGGTCGTTCAATTACCCTCTTGTTGATGGTTTGTCACACAAGCTCACACATTAACTTACTTATTTTCTAGTTAACCCTAGTTTCACATTCACTAATCTTAGGCATATACCAATGTTTTCACATAAATCATATGAGATTAGCAATTAAGAGATGCTCATGCAACTTAATTACTGGTTAATTAATAGAAAATAGTTATCGTTAATACATAAGGTTCTTTAACAAGCTTAACAAAACTAAATCACCAAATCAAATCATCCATGCCATAAAAAGCAAACCATATTAACAAATTAGTCTACTCTAAACAGAAGCTAAAATTTTTTAGCTTATAATTACAATAGGAACTAACTCAAAAATGAAATCAGTTGGTTCACACATAGTTTAACAAGAGATTAAGTAAAGAGTAAATTTGATTTGCCTTGATTCTCCTCAAAATCGAATGTAGGGTTGATTCTTCAGTTTCCCACGCTCCAGCAGAACCTTGAATCACAGCTTAGCCTCCAAGGGTTCCAGCAAAGGCCTAGGTATCGGGCAAGATTTCCTTTATATAGATTTTCACAAAACAAAGGTGACTCGTCGAGTCCAGTGTCCGACTCGGCGAGTCCATCACTTAAGACCCGTGTACGGCAAGGACTTTTATTGCTTTGCGAATGTTCGACGTGACTCGTCGAGTCAGGCATTGACTCGTCGAGTTCTTCAAGATTTTTGACTCTTTTCTTCTTTATTTACTTCCCGAGCTCCTGATTGCTATTCCCGCTTCCTTTTGCTTCCGAGCACTTTTTTTAGGCTGAAAATACAATTTAGACATAATTAAGTACCTTTCGTTCATTAATTGCAATAAAATAGTCAAAAAGTATTAATATTCTATACAAAATATATGACTAAATATGCACATATAAATATACCCCACACTTGACTTTTGCTTGCCTCCGAACAAAAATGAATTTTAACATATTAGCGTCACATAAAATAATTCTAATCAAACACAGCCATTATGCCAAGACCTCAACACATGCATTTTTGTCTAAAATTTTTCCTAATGACCCCCCCCCCCCCCCGGTCAATTCTAAATACTTACAATCCTCATAAACACCCGCCCACTTCTTTTGAACAACGCTCATTTTATGCATCCCTCCGAATCCATCCCTATAAAACTTTCTTAATCTCAAGGTATTTTTGGTTGAGTAACTGAAGCATACATAATCTAGACAATTACAACTTTTTGATACCACAATGGAGCTTTTTGGAATTCTTCACTTCTTTGATGATTTGATCTCTTTAATTTCTTTGAATTCACTACATTCTTTGATTTTTGGTATCTTTAACTTTTTGAATTTCTTCAGAACTTTGATCTTTTGATCTTCATACTATGACTGCTCTGAAATTCTTACAACCTTTTCTTGCAATTCTCTATTTTTTAAAATGTATCTCACTTTTTTTTTTTCACTCAAAACCTACATGCTTAAGCGGGGACGCTCAACTTCAACCTTTGTTGGTTAAAGATATTAGTTTTCCTTGATACATTTCAAGTACACGATGCTAAACATATTACGATCCTCAAACTAAGCGAGGTTGTGTT